TTTCAGTTCGGTATGAATTTCAAACTACGCGTCCGCATCCTTTGTTTATTCCAGACATTGTCCAGGCTCAGGCTTCGCCGTGTTATTGGACTACCGATGCCAATCTCAGCTACGCATCACGTGAAAACCTGAGAGCGCGTATTATCCACAAGATATCGGATCCATACACGGGCACTTCCCTGGCGCCTTGCTCGGTTGAAGTGAAGGGGACGTACTACACCTTTGGGCTTATGTGTACGACTCCACCCTCGACACTCACCCCAGCAACCACGACCAGTCACGGCCTCTAATTGTGAGTTTGATATTCCCTCTCTCTCAATTCCTGTGCTCATCGGCTACGATCCTCAGGTTCCCACAGGCCCATCAGTCTGCAACAAGGTGAAGATTTGGAACACATCTCAGCAAAGCCTAAAAGCGACTAAAGCGAAAAACAAAGCACTCGCCATCCGGTCACAAATCCCGGAACATAGATTCTCTCTAGGGAATCCGCGGTGCGAGAAGATGACAGAAACACTCCTCCGCAGCACGCTTCGGGACGCGTGGTACGGCGTCTGCACCTCGGAGCAACGCGAAACCGCCATGAACAAGCTTATACGAACTATTAATCACACTATAAAGACCTGGGAGTGCTTGGCGGTCGGCCTCCTCGCCCTCGATCTCGCAATCACCCTCTACGGCCTCAGCGCTAAGATCTCGGAAGCCGTCATCCCCATCCCCGACGAGGTCGCCATCATCGCTTTCACTGAACTTATGGTTCTCATTCAGCTTATGCAGATACTCCTCCCAGTATACCCTGCGGATGAGTTCGAGATTTTTGCTATTCCGCAGCAGCTGAGAGAGAAGACCGTTTGCAAATGGGTGAGCGGCGTTTTTGGCCTGCAGGAGGCTGAGCTTCATGAGAATCGCCGCCAGATGAATGAGAATGAACTCAAGGTCTTTGGCGTCTTTCTCATCCCTATTGTAGCCGCTGTTGTATGGAAGTGGAGAAGGGTTCGTCGTCGTCAGAGGGAGATTGTGAGAGATGAGCAAGCGGCGCTTGTGGCTCAGGCCTTTCGCATGCGGGACGCTCGAGGAAGGCATGATTGAGGACATAGCCTACCAAGGAACTTGGCTTTCATGTTTACAGGTTGCGGGTGGATATTGGTCTGTGTACTGGAAATACAACGAGACAGCTTTGAGCGTATGAATAAGTGCTCCTTTCATCATCAACAAGGCTGCATATCGCGTCGGTCCCAAAGGACATTGCCAACCAGCTCTGTAGGTTGAAAACTTTGCTTTGCGAGACTTGAAGTGCATTATGATGAGATTGCCCAGCAAAGGAAATGATGCTTCGTCTTGTTCATCTTGTTTGTCTTGTCCGTGTTTACTGGTCTCTCGGACACAACGAATTGGCATGATCAAATACCATAAGTAGAATGCTGGGTTGGATACTCAGTCGATCTCAAAATCACAATCTCATCATATAATTGTTACATACTCCAACAACACTCAACTTGCCATTTTCTACATAGTTGGTCAAGCAATCCACGCCAAAAATCAGCAGTCATTTCGGGACTTTGAGCTCTTGAAGATCTTTCACTTGAAGAAAAAGTCGGAATATCTTTGCTCTGGCCTGCCGTCTCGCTCCTTCCAAAGGTGAAAGCTGGTACCTTCCAAAATTGGGACAGGTAGGATCTGAACTTCACCCTCAAACTTCACCTCCGGCCCCTTTGAAGTGAATCACCACCCATTCATCTTATTCATCTGTCAATCCAGTGAATATCCACGCGCGCCTTCCTTTTGACGGCCTTCTTCCCTCTCCCTCGATAAAACCCTTCCTCTCACTTCCCTCGTAGGAATTCTCTTCCTCTCACAAACAATCAACTCAATCCTTCGCGACAAAGGAACTCCTACCCGCGCAGTTTCTTCTTCAATCACACAAACCCTTTCACACACTGAGCAACACACGACCAAGATACTCAGAATGTCTGAATACGTTCTTGGTGCCATGTGGTAAGTCTTGCCTTTCTCTCTCGTGCACACTGAAAACCGAAATGACAAGCTGATTTATTTTTCCACAGGGCCTGGTATGCCTACGATGAGGTTCTGACCAAGGAGCTCATGCAGAAGGCCAAGCCCATTCCCCTTCCTCAGGAGCCCAGCTTCAGGACTACTGATGTCAGCATCATTGTGGCTACCATCAATACCCCCGACACGTTCACCGACTGCCTTCGTCTCTGGCTTGCCAACAAGCCCAAGGAGATCATTATTGTCACCATTGACCGTGACCTTCAGCGTGTTCATGACTTGGTCAAGCCCGTCATTATTGAGGGCGATGATCGCATCAGCGTCATGACTGCCGAGTACGCCAGCAAGCGTTACCAGATGGTCGTCGGCATCAAGGAGGCCCAGGGCAAGATTCTTGCCCTCGTCGACGATGATGCCTTCTGGGGCACTCTGGAGACTCTGCCCTACCTCTTGGCCGGTTTTGAGGACCCCAAGGTCGGCGGTGTCACTGGCAAGCAGAGGTATGTGAAGCTATTGTCCTTTCCCTCCTTTCTTCCTTTGAAAGAGCTTTTTCTTCTAATGACATCTTGCTAATTTTCACAGCGCTCTCATCAGCTCTGACCGCCGCAACCCGGCCGTCATCACTCCCTGGGAGGTCGCCTCCCTCCGCTCTCTCGACAACCAGAACAATGTCCAGGCCGTTCGCTCCGCTGCCGATGGCGGTTGCTGGTGCATGGTCGGTCGCACCATGATGGTCCGCACTGACATTGCCCAGGACCCTCGCTTCATGGAGGCCATCACCAATGATAGATGGAACGGTCAGCTCATGAACACTGGCGACGATGTCTTTCTCACCCGCTGGCTGCAGACTGAGGGTTGGGACATTGCTGTCCAGAATGCCCCCCAGGCTGAGATTACCACCCTTGTCATGCGTGACTCTGGTCTGCTGTACCAGATGATCCGCTGGCAGCGCAACGCCATCCAGTCCTTCCTCACGACTGTGATCTACCAGCCTGGCATCCGCAAGATCAAGCAGTAAGTCATTCCTCTCTTAACCCCCGTCCTGTGTTGTCTTTGTAATGAGGCTCCCAAGAATCTAACAATTAAATAGGAAGCACCCCTACATGGCTCGTAAGATTATTGAGCGTCTTCTTCGACCTGTCATCGCCTGGGTTCACATCATTGCCTTCATAATGTGTCTTGCCAAGAAGTCTCCCATTGCGTAAGTTCTTCTCCCTCTGACCTATTCTGACAAAAATGACTGACTTTTTCTCTGACAGCTACTTCGTTGCGGGCTACTACATCTGGGGCTGGTTCCGCACCTACAACGCCTTTGCGCGTCGCTTCCCCTTCACTTCTCGCCAGGTGTGGGCCTGCTTCCTCCTGGACAACGCTCATCCCATTCTCGACGTCTACGCTTGGCTCACTCTGAGCACCGAGGCCTGGGGCACCCGTGACACCTGAACGAAGGCAAATGAGCCACGACGAGTATCGTAGTTGCTTGGGCGACAGCGGAACATTTCATGGCTGATACAAGAGTTCTTTAAACACGAGGGCTAGGGAAGACTCTCTTGACAATTGGGGTTTTGGGGGTGAATAGATAGGTCTCTCACGAGAAACACTGGAGCTCGAGACAAAGTCCGCCCATAGACCGGTAGACAAAACGCTTTCGGCGACAATACATACAGAGGCTGCGAGCAAATTGCATAGTGCAGAGTCGACATTATGGTGAACAATGTAGGCATAGATATCTGTACAAGGCGTCATGATCCTTGCATAGACCGCAAGAGACCTGCCACTGCATCAAAGCAAGATCATGTTTAATCGTATAGCATTACCCATCGAGTGTCACTCAAAGTGCGCAACATACAGCGCAGTAAAGAATGCTCCGCGTCACATCAATAAGTTTCCTTGACTTCACAACAAGTCCTGTGGGTATAACAGATCTGTAGGCGTCACAGGTCAGTATCTCGTGTGTTCCCAGGATCTTGGTTAAGTCCAGGAATAGAATAAAGTTTACCACTACCGTTCGAGAAGCTATATGGTTCCGGATCAGCCCTATACGCGGGAATTTATGAAACTTATCTCGCCGTCTTTGTCAGCTGCGACAGCCCTTTTACCGCATGCGAAGCCAAACCTTATTGCTGACCGTGAACCTACGATGCGTCGGCGGTCCTTACCTGACTTTCGATTGAATATTGTCCAATCGAATATTCAGGCATGTTCCCATCGCTTTGTGATTTGGACTTAACCAGGAGCAGCACCAGATTATCCAGTGATTTCATCATCTTGATTGACAGCACGAATGTATTATGTTGTTACCATCGGAGATGGCTGTCAATGTCTAATGCTTCGGTCCAAAGAGTCAGGGACCCCGGTCTTTCTGACACTGCTGCATGACAACCTGCGCACTCATGGGACCCAGCTGATAGGACCCAGCCACTTGGTACATCAGCCTTACTGGGGGCTGAAATGCGGAGTCTTGCGGTGCTTATGATCAGGATGAACATGCTATCGATCAGTTCTCAGGCTATACTCGATTGTGCTTTGAAACTCAGCTCCACCATCCTGGCGAGCTTTCATCTAGGCCAGTCGCATTGTGTCGGACTTTGGCTTTGTCCATACACGCGTACGCCGGCGATACCGACAAGACGATGACTTCGGTAAACTCGGCTTGATCCTGCAATCTTTGGATTGTTAGCCTTTGTGACAGTATAAAGGCATGGACTCATTCACCTAAAACTTGGCCTTTGAAGTACAACCACCAGTGTCAAACAACTAGACTCTCTACTACAGCAAGTCTTTACACCATTTTCTCCATCAGCCACAATGCAGTTCAAACAGAGCGCACTTGTCGTTCTAGCGGGACTTCTCTCCCTTACATGTCAGTTGAAGCCACACCTTGCATTACCATGGATTTGGATAAACCGTTGCTAATATGATGCTTTCGAAAGTTGCCTGCGATGATGCACAAGGAAACAAGGGAGTGTGCAAACCACCCAACTTCTGTTGCGCGGCGGATGGCTTTCAGTGTGTTTTCAGAGAGGAATGCAAGAGCTAGGTGTTTTAGATCCTTCCGCAGTCGTACCCTAGGATGGGAAGAATTATCTTTTATTTGATGCCACCAGACTTAGGTCCTGACTTCCAAACGCTGCCGCCTAAACGCTGAGTTCTAGGTGATGTCTATATGTCATCAGTTTCCCGGGCTGATTGGGAAATGCTAAACCTACGAGCGTATGTCGAGCCGCATCGCATGATGGAGCAATGATGCCGGGCCCGCAGGAAGTCGAACGGGGGCGTCCACTACGCTTGTATTTACTGCGCCTTCTTCCCAACAGCGGTCTGCTCGACTGAGGTCAGCTCCCGAATCAACCTCATGTACCAGCTCGCGCCCAGAGCGGTGAAGATGTGCCACCATCCATGGAGTTCCAGCAGCCACGCGGCAGGCAATCCCAGACTCTTCCTCGCGGCTCTCAGCTCGGCGCAGAACTCCAAGTCGATATGCCAGAGCGTGAAACCCACGATCAAGATGATGCAAGCCTTCCAGAACTGCTTCATCAGTCCCTTTTGCTGCTCTTTCGAGTAGCGTCCAGTCCAGTAGACGATGAACAGCGTGCGCGGCCAGACAAATGTCAACAGTCCGGTAAAGGTCGCGACGTGGATGGCAATGTCCCCCGATCGGACGTAGATGACGGCCATGGTGGCGATGCCGAGCCAGAGGATGGTGGTGATCGCGGCCCCCACGGCGCGCGACTGGCGGAAGGCGTACAGGGGCTGTACGAGCGAGCCGGCGAGGACCAGCATGGACAGGTCATCGAGGAGCTGCGTCTCCTGGTGCATGGTGCCATGGAAAACGCCAGAGAAGATACCGACGGCGAGGAGACCGATGGATTGGATGTCGAGGGTTCGGTACCATGGCACCGCGGCCTTGGAGTTGGCCCTGGGGTACTTCAGGGCGAGGTAGACTGTTGGAGGGTTCAGCATGATGAGCACAGGGATGGATATGGCAGGGCTGTCACTCACTGTACGTGGCATTGGATAGACAATTGATGAACTCTGCGATGTAGCGCGTGAAGATGTAGTCTTCTTCGCAGAAGCTGAAAAGACGTGCTACGTCAGCATGTGATCACGACGACTCGGTATCTTAGAGCCTTGCTTACTTTGCCTTGCTTGTTGGATAGCCCCAGATACCATCGCCCGCAGTTGCGTCGCTCGCAAAGCGGAGGGTCTGATGCTTGTGACTCATTTCGGCGACACCTTTCCTCGCGAATCGTCGATCCCACTGCTGAGGCTACGTTGGCTCTGCTGTCGGAGTAAGAAAAGCGCGTGATTTTGACGCGACTGAGATTTCCCTCGTGCTAGAAAGCTATCGATAACCCAGGGTGGTAACAGCCAATTGCGGAGCTTAAAATCGTTGCAGGTCTTGAAAGAAGATCTCAAGTTGGGTTTGGAAGCGTCAGCACGTCACAATTCCGCAATACTTTTCTTCAGTCGTTCGTCCGATCCTGCATTTAAAGCTCAGGGGAAGTTGCCAACGATCCGAAGCGAGAAAAAAGAAATGGAGCCTCGGGAGGAATGGGAAAGTAACACGACTGCGATGTGGATCACGTAACCTGCAGAGCGCCTCACCCGATGCGCCGTTGGGCCCATTTTCTGGGGTCGGTCCGCATATCCGCGGAGACCCGGAGCCGGGGCGGATGCGGGTCTCGGCTCCACCGTTTCCTCCCCTGGATTCAACAACATTTTTTCTTCCATTGCGTCTAAAGATTCACCGACGTCTTTGAAGACTAGGAGCGTCAAGACAAGCGAAATCCCAACGACGCCTCATATGATAGTCGAGTGTGCTAACAAACACGAATTCCAGGAAGGACGCATGGGCATGTGCGGATTCCTGAAGTTTCTTCAATTGTGGATTGATATTGAAAGTGTGTAGGGTAGAGAGGACTCTAGCGGTGCGGTGCTTCAAAAGAACTACCCATACCTATTAAAGCAACACAAGATGCCTCCTTTGATCGGGTGGGAATCACTCTAATCGAGGGGATATAAGTCTCCTGATTAGATATATTATTAAGCTCGATTAAAGGGTAGACTTCCTAATCGTCTTGTGTTATTACGTTCGAAAGTAAATTATTAGAAAGGCTTAAGTCCGATCTTAAAGAAAATATGCGGTCTGATTGAAGTAAAAAAGATGCGCTGGCCCCTCTGTCTATCTTAATCGGGGCTTTCTCTCCTTATATCCTTCCCCGATCGGCCTGCTTCGTATCCATCTTTCTGTGCTAATCGACTTTTAAAAAGAACCGCTAAGACTGATCACCCCGCCCCACTCCAATATCTTCTACCCGCGGCTCGTTTCTGGATCTGTTCTTACTTCTTTGTACTGTCAATCAAGTTTTCCGACTCTGTTCATGAGTAATTGAAGGTTCTTAAGTTTTTGTCCAGCATTCAACGGTTGCCACTTTCTGGTTCTGACTTCCAGTGACAGCTTACGAGTGGGCCTTCCATTCTGATGAGAGCGACTTGGTATGAAGGCCTTCTTCAATTTCAGGCTGCAGGACTGCCATCTATATGAAATGCATTGCAGGCCTGAAAAAGAGCATGAGGAATCAGGGTCGATCAGCCGCTTCCGGTCCTTCTAAGGTATCCAGAGTTTTGGGTGTGTGACAATGTCCGCCCTAACTTCACCTTCTTAATCCCCTTTCAGTTCCTTCCTCATAAGAGCTGAACCTTCACGCACCTACCTAAGGCACTTGAGAAGAGAGGTACCTTGGGTACCTAGGTAGGTTCCCTGGCAACTACGAGTTATACCTTTCGCCTTCCCTACCTAGCTACCTTAAAGTACCTAGGTAAGGTATCTCAAGATGTTACCTACCTCCTGCCGTTTGGCGACTTTCGCCCCTTGGCCAATCACTCCTTCTGCTCCTTCCCAAGGAAAGGATCGGACTTGCTCACGCCCTTCTGGCCTTCGCCGCGTGAGGTAAACCTTCAAGCTTCGCCATTCCCTCACACGCCCAGAGTTTTCCGCCTTCGTCAACGGTCTCCTTCCAGCAATCATACGGCGTAAGGTGACCTTCGGAACTACGCTGCGTGTATCATGAAGATAAACAACTTACCATGCGAGATTGTCGCGGAGATTCTCGGCCAGCTCGACAAGGTTGAAGACCTCAAAGCTCCTCTGCTGTCCTCTCGATTATTCCACGATGCATACACCCAGCGCCCTCGTCTCGCCCAGCAGATCGTCAGGAAACAGATACCCAGCCAACTGCTACCGTATGCGGTCATATTGCCACACGCATCGAGAGTTCACATCTCGAATTCCGCGTACAATGCCCTTAGCTTGCAACCCGAGGATGCAGATACAATGGTCTTCCGCTTCATGTTTGAAGGTGGCATTGTATCAACAAGCAATTTCCAAACGTTCTCCTTTCCGCAACTGATCGCTATGGGGGCAACTCACGAGCTCATTACCGATGTTGCGTCAAACTTTGCCAGCAAAGCCTGGCTGTCCATGTCGGACATCCTGGACGACACGATATCCACGAAGTCGACGCCGAGTCACCCAGATCTATCCCAGAAAGAATGGCTCCGCTTCTGCCGGTGCTTTTACCGTGTAGAGCTCTACTATGGTCTCTTAAGCAACTACAAGTTCGAAGAAAGGGATGTCCATGTGACTCAAGAAAACAACCCATTAGAACCAGTCATTGACTTTGAGGAGAGGGAAAAACGATACCCGGCAAGACACATCCTTCATGATCTTGTGCCTTGGGACATCGAGCAGATGGAAACAGCAATCGGATATCTGAGCGATAGTTTCATGGCATCTGCAGGACTGCCAGTCACCGATGGCTACACCGGTAAGTCGTTAGTCCTCATCAGCGCTTGCTCAAAACTGACGACTCATTAGGCAAATGGGTAAGATCTGCCGCCTCCAGTCTTGATGACTTGTGCTCATGCTTGCTTCGAATGTTCTTCTGACGTTCAACACAGCATTGCAAGGGCTTGAGATTCCTTCGAAATTTCGAAAAGATGCCATACGCTGAGAAGAGGGAGCTGTTAGAGAGTGGAGTACCTATCTTCTGTTCCTCTTTGTTCATGGAATTTTCGGTGTATGAGCCAAGGTTTGATATAAGCAGGGCTTGGCAAGATACCAAGCTGGATGCACCATTGCAACTGTCCGATTTGGCAGATATGGACGCTGATAAAGGGCCTGGAAAGGGGTTCGACTTCATTCTAGACTGTGCCATCACTCATTTAATGTCCCGAGATGAATACGAACGCCTCAAAGAGCAGGGATACCTATTTTGGGACCACGAACGCTTAGAGAAGTACGATATGTGCTCAACAAGGTTCATCCGGCCTCCGTTCTGAGGCGTCTATAGCTCACCATAATGGACTGTCGAGGAAGCAAACAGCATTGTATTCAACTGGCATGACAGAAAGAAGATATGGCCTATGGGCGCAAGAGGATTTTGAACCAAGGAGAATGAAATCGGGAATGTGTGGCGTCAAAATTGGGCGAGTGCAGCTCGAGAGTCGACCAGAGCGCTGTGTTAGACATTTCAGACTTCGCTTATAGGCCCAAGGGGGTCAGAAGAAACGTATTCCTACGATATTCACAGCGTGTTAAACAGTTCGACTTGTAGCTAGAAATTTCAATCTTGGGGCTCGGGACTAGAGGGGTTGCGTTTCACTCATACTCAACCGCAATACATTAGCAAGTCAGACAGGAGAATTGGAGCAGCTGTGGTGAATTGAAGGACCTGGAAAGGCTGGAATCTGGGATAGAAGCCGGCAAAGTTACGTGAAACTTCGGTTACCGTATCATCTCTGGTAATCTGAAAAGAGTAGAAGGTTCAAGATAGATGAAATTCAACTCAGTCATCAATGGAATATGGAGTTACCTGTCACAGAAATGCATCCTCATACTATTTTTGTAGCCACAATGTAACCCCCCGCGGCGAGAAGGGACGTTCAACCCGTCCTGGTCAGTAAGCTTCCGACTTTTTCGATGAAGATGAGTCCGAGGTGTTGCGATTTCGTATTTTGACTTCACATAAATGCGATTCTCGGCACCTAATCAAATGTGTCAAACGGATAACACGGCCCTTTTGCGCGCAGGCTTGTCTTGACTCGCCTAATGTTCATGAATCGAGATTGCCTCAAGAACAACAAAGAATATTTCCGTCTGAGTGGTACGCTAGCTTGGTGAGATGAGTTAGCCCCCAGACTAACGTACTCCAACGCAGCATCACATGCATCATCATATGTAGTTGATAAGGCTTAGTCATCATCTCCAATCGATTTACACGGTTCTTCTTACCCGCGGCGACGAGGGGAGGCTCGAGAGCGACAACCCCGCGCGAGCCGGCAAGTTAGCCAAGCGCGGGTGTTCTGCTCATCTTCTTCATACCAGTCTAGCGTGCATTTCTTCACCAGTTCATCCCGAGACTTTTATGAAGAAAGAGAAAAGAAGAAAAGGGAAGCCACCATGTCGGAAACCCAGCCGTCCCTCCGCGCCGTGAAGACGGTCCTCGCCATCCCGGAGCTTCTGGAATCCATATTAGTGCAAGTCGACATGAGAACGCTGCTGGTCTCAGCGTCACGGGTGAGCAGGACATGGAAAGCCTTCATGGACGGATCACCAGCCGTCCAGCAGGCATTATTCTTCAAGCCAGTCTCGATGGATATCTCGCGGGCAGTGATCCACGGCCTCGAGGATGGTGTGTTCCCGAGCATACCGGAGCAAGGCGCCATGCCATCCCATACGACCGGTGACCGCTTAATCAACCCCCTCCTAGCAGAGAAATTTGACAAATGCTTCTTCGACTTTGGACCAACGTACTCGTGCCAGCGCCGGGCGAACTCGTTTTACGAGCTGCCCTGGTCCAAAACCCCGGAACCGATCCAAACGGTCCAGGAGTACTGGGGCGGCTGGAGCCAGGTCAAGCCGGCCGAGCTCAACGAAGAAGCAGCACGATATCAAGACGAGGCCAGGAAGCGATTTACGCGCCGCGGCGCAAGTTGGCGCCGCATGCTCGTCTCGCAGCCGCCGCCGCCGTCATTGGGATACATGCGCTTCGACGTCTGCAGTCTCGCGCTGGAAGAGCAAAAGATCGCGAGTTCTCTCATCCGGCAGCCGACTCCTCCCTCGGCACCCCCCTCGAATGCTGCGGATTCAGAACAAGCACCATGCAGCGGTGTGCGGATGGGAGAGCTCTACGACATCGTCCAGCACGCGGCGGGACACCACGGACGGCACTCACTCTGGTTCAGGGTGCTCTGGGGCAAGCCGACGACGCACTTTGCCTTTTCGCACGTCAAGGATGTGTTTGAGAGGTTGATGGCGCGGACGAGCGTCGTCGTGGAGTTGATGCACGCGGACGATACGTCTCTCCCGAATCACCCGCAGGACCCGTCGGACGTGGGCGTTTTTGATGCCGCTTTCCGGTGCGAGGAGCATCGCGAGGTAAAGTTTGAGACGGAGCATACGTGGGGCGAGGCTGTTGAGTTTCCTCACTTTCACCCGCGGTATGTTGTTTGGCATTGGAAGTTGATGGAGGTTGAATAGCCGATGTTTGATGTCGTCTGACGGGCTGTATTGTTTTCCGTGGATGTGAATAGTTCCGTCACATACTTCTTCTTTCAGGGCCACAGGTTTCTCATGTATCTTCATTCGTTTCACTGTTCACATTACAATTTTCCAGGGATCCTCTTGTACACATACCTGGCTTGCGCTACATTCCCTCATTCTTTTGAAAACGCGACCATGAAGGCTGATAAAGAGGGAAGGCACTCGGATCTGTTTCCTGCATAGCAGTGTACTGTTGTTCTCTTCCAAACAGCGACTAGGACTCGCGCAGCATGTTTCTTAGCATTATCTCTGTATTCCCATCATGCATTGTACTTCTTTATTCATACTGGCAAACACATATATCTGTGATAGCAATGTCACATACTCCCATGCCCGAGTAAGGTAGTGATAAACGAGGGCGGGTGGCTCAATGCTCAATGACTGATGACGTCAATGATGCTCACACACACTCCTTGCTTGTTGCATGTCACTTTGAGACAAGCTTAAACGTGAGACTTTGGCAATGCACCTAACGGCTTCCCCAAAGCGGAAAATGACAGCAAAGAACCTGGAGAAAATGTGACACTGGATGACAGCCACGCTGTGACCTGATGGAAACATTGAAAGGTTTGGGGGTTTGGGGAAGTACAGTACTGCGTAGCGGCCCGAGAAGTGTTCCCCGACACGCAGCCAATCAGACTCGTCTAAGGTAGGTAGTTCTAGATGTCCTGCAAGTTGAGGTCGGCTGACGCGGCATCCGCAGTGGATCCTTGAAAATGGGGTTCTACGTGCCTACCAAGCGGAACCAGCTGTTCGGCGCGGAGGAAGGTGCAGGGCGAAATGGAGCACCTGCGCGTTTTGGGGAGTTTGGCTGCACCTCTCCTTCCCTTCCGCGACGACATGCTTCGAGGCTGCATCGAGGCGAACTGGATGCGCTGTGCCGCCCAAGCCTACCTTAAGATAAAGTACACCTTACGCGGTGGAAAGAGAGGGTGGTTCATTAACTGGGTATGGGAACACCGAGTTGACTAATCTACAGTAAGGTAGTTGGCATGCACCTGCCTCACGTGCTGGCCTGACTCTGGGTTACCTGCGCACACCTCACTTGACTTGCCGTCTGGGCACTTCCCAGTAAACTGGTACTTCACCCTCACCCTACCTCAGGTACCTACCTGAAGGCACCTACCTACCTTAGTCATCACAATCCTCGGTGGGCTGTCCGGATGCTGAAGTTGTTTCCTGCCCGCCTATTCCGCCCCCCTTGGGCCGGGGAATTTCAACTTTCGGGGTCCTGGGTCAGGCAGGCAGGAAAGGCCCACTCCATTTTTTTCCCAGTCACGTCCCGGCCCCATTCCCACATCCTCTTCCGAAAAATCGCCTCGTGTCCCGTCTCGTCTCACTCCAAACCTCACTTCTTCTCCCCCCGTCCTCCCGATCCTCCACCCCTCCGTCCGACAACCACGTCTTTCCGTCGTGCAACTGAGACAACCCATGTCACGAAGCGAAAAGTCCTGCTGACGACACACTCATTCTTCCACCATTCGCTATACCCATATTGATCTTCTATCAATAAATCCCATTCATTCATGCCCACGGACACCCGCCCCGCCCTGACCCGCGGAAGCCCACCGCAAGCTATAGAGAACCTCAACGCTTGACGAGTCACGCGCGCAGCGCCTACCTCTTCCTCATCCTCCCACCACCTCAACCCGACCTCTTACGGTCGTCGCCCGTCGCCCACCATGCCGATCCTCGGCGGGAAGAACAAGTTCAACACCAAGCCGGCAGCAATCCGTGTCGAAAAAGTCCAAGTCGCCGCCCCGAAGCCGCGCCCGAAGCTCGCCCACGCGGCATCCTCTACATCCTCCGCCAAGGCCTCCCCGCGCGCATCGCCAAAGCCAAACGCCAAGTCCCTCCTCTCCCGCAAGCAGAGCGCCTCGCCCTACCCCTCCTCTTCCTCGGACGAGAAGCGCAGCGGCAGCGGCGAGCGCAAGCGCAAGGTCGGCAGCGCGGGGCCGTCGCAGCCCAAATTCGATAACGACTCTGACGGCGACGACAACTACGAAGAGTTCCTCAAGCATGAGCCTAGCAAGCGGCAGCGCACGCAAGATGGGCAGTTTGTAGATACCCAACGCGTGCTGACCCGGTCGAGCGCATTCAAGGACAATGCGAAGCCCCTCAGCCGGCTGATCCACGCGGCGCAAATCTCCAACCTCAAGAAGTGTCCCAAGGCCACGCGCTCGCTCGGTGCGACAGCAGACGACAACGTCAGAGTGCGACTGCAATACCCGAGCAATTACGGTGCGGAAGAGTAGGTTTCAATATCTAGTCTGCGACTGTGGTACGGCATCGCTAACCCTCTCCCTAGGTACGAACTCATCAACGACAAGGGCATCATCAACGCAATCGAGGATATCAAGACGGTGGTCGGTTTCGTCGCCAACGTATACCTCACCGAAGAGCAGGCCGAAGAGTTCACAGAGCAGCAAAACGGGTTTCTACGGCGGCTCAGGAAAGCATCAAACACAAACGACTTCCACGGTTTCGTGTCGGCGCTCAACGACGCGAATAAGAGAATTCGCACTCTTGCGGCGGATGGCACAATACGCAAGAATCTGGACAAGATACACGGGCTGCCCAGGGGTTTGGTCGAGTTCATCCTCACCCAGGTGTACGACCGCACAGTATCACCAGACGTGGAAAAGTTGAAACAGTACAAAAACGGCACCGACAATGTCTATGGCGAGCTAGCATATCGGCTCATCTCCGATATCTTACAGGAAAAGACCCGGATGACGTCAGACCAAGTCTTTGTCGATCTCGGCTCCGGCGTGGGCAACGTCGTGTTCCAGGCGGCGCTCGAGATCGGCTGTGAGAGCTGGGGCTGCGAAATGATGGAGAACCCATGCGACTTTGCGGAAGCGCAAGAGAAGGAGTTTGGTGCCCGCTGCAAGATGTGGGGCTTGCTGCCCGGCCGAGTCAACCTCGAGCGAGGCGACTTCACAAAGTGCACCCGCATCCACGAAGCCATGAAGCGCGCCGACGTTGTCCTCGTCAACAACCAAGCCTTCACACCGCAGCTCAACGCCGAGCTGGTCAACATGTTCCTCGATCTCAAGTCAGGCTGCAAGATTGTGTCGCTCAAGTCGTTCGTCAACGACCAGGGGACGCGCAACGCCAACGACATTGCGAGCAACATCTTGGAGGTCGAGCACCTGACCTATCCTGAAGGTGACCCTGGCGGTAACTATGTCAGCTGGACCAACGCTGGCGGCAACTATTGCATATCGACGAGGAAGTAGGCGGCTTTACGTTCCATCAGCATCTGCATCTGTCTTTACGCCGCATGATGTCCTACGGGACTTGTGCTGATGATGCATGCAGCACTCACTAGAGAGCATGGCTGCAACGTGTGTTGTACACTTAGCATGGACGAACCCAACAAAAAAGGAAAATGGAAGAAGAAAAAAAAAGACAGGAATACTGGCATAGGAGAGGAAATAGCGTTGAGTTCATTTACCTGTAGAAATTCTTACAACTCCCCATAGAGCATGTCAGCCGGGCAGACAGCCAGCGAGAGACACCGAGAGAGAAAGGAGCGTGGCGTGTGTGGGTTGAGGGAGGTTATACACGAAATAGACCGCATAATCAGCGCTCGTTTGCGAGATTCATAGCATCGGCCTCCTGGGCCATTCTCTTCATCCACCGGTCGACGAGCTCCTTATTCTCCTTCTTGACCCTGTCCCGTTCCTGCTCGGCCATGGACATTTGCAGGTTTATCGTGATCATGTCGTCTTGTACGTTCTGCGGACACACGCGCGAGTCAGCATTCTCCCCTCTTTGTCTTGGACACCTTTTGCCAAGCTTCGCTCATTATATGTATACCTCGACCAGCTTGCGCTTCTCCCGCAGCTCGTGTTCCCGATCCCGTAGTTTCGTCGTCAGGGCCGCATTCTCCGCCGTCAGGCTGCGGACTTTCTTCGCGTCGTCTTTGTGTTTTGTTCGTAGCGTCTGGGCCTCGTCTTCGGCCTGCTTTGCGCGGTCTTTGAGGGTTCCGTTTGAGCGGAGGGCTTCGGCGAGTTGGAGCTGGAGCTGTGCGATGGTCGGGTCGGGGGAGGAGGTTCTTGCCGTTCCTGTTGTCGGAGAAGGTGGTATGTTGTTTGATTTCTCGGAGGTGGTGAGTTTGCTCTTCTTCTCGGGCGCGGTTTTGGATTTGAGGACTTGGTTTTCGGCTTCAAGGGCTGCTACGTGGTCGGAGAGCTGGGAGCCTGGTTGAGAATGGGAGGTTTAGTTTGCTGGCCTTGGGGATCTGGGAAGAGGAGCTGAGGAGGGGGAGGTCTTACAGAGTTGTACGATTTCGAGGTTTACGGGGTTGTTCTTCTCTTGCTCCCTGATGGAGGCTAGGTATTCGGAGCGCCAGTCGGCCATGGTGGGCGGTTTTAGTGGGGGAGGAAGAAGGTAGAGCTGGGGTTTGCTGTGTCGGGGGTTACATTTATCTAGGTAGCTGTCTATAAATCACCGTGGATTTTGATGCAGAAGCTGGAATCTAGGAACAGTGACGGGAACAGCTTCGTGTGAGAGGTGCCTTTTCTCGGTTGGGTTATGTTGGCGGAATGGCGCATGCGTTTTGCATTCCAGACAGCAACAGCTCCTTCGCGCGTCACAGCGAGCGCATGGTCGTCCGCAGTCCGTCACCTGTCCTGGGACGCCTGGGGGTGCTTGGGCTTTGTCTTCTCGGCGCACTGCATCTTTTGGTGGGGTTCCATTGCCCGCCTGCCTGTCCTGCCTCCGGAGAAATGACGCAGCTCCCTGAAGCCGGTGATTAGCCGGTCCCAGCGGTGAATTGAGGCTGCTCCCCTGTGATTCGTGGCGCAAGCTCCATCGAGCTGTGCCTGGGGCTGGGGGGTACCTCTAGCTCAATGAGAGCTTGGTGTGCTGGGAAGCTCATACCTTCAACCTCACCTCTCACTCATCTCATACCTCGGTCTCAAAACCAAAAAGTAGAACCGGAAACCCACAAAACCCAAGACCTCCATCCAGGAAATCTCCCGGGTTTTTTGGAATCGCAAGACGACGTGTGATCAAGCAGGACAAAGTCCAACTCGCGGATTGTGAAAGGGACCAGGCCCAAGGCGACCGAGGAAGATGACATGATGGAAGCATCCCACCCCGCGGCAGGATGGGAGAACGTCGGCGAAAAATGGTACCGTAAAGTCCAGCTCTACACCGAGGTATTCGACCAAGACCTCGACCTCGACAACTACATCGTCGCCGGCGCCCCCTACGGCGGCGCCCTCGCCCTCCTACGGGACGACACCAAAATCCAGGCCGTTCGCGCCGCCCCGAGCAACAGCAAAACCGGCGGCGGCTCATCAAGCAGCAGCAAGCCCGGCATCGACATCTACTCGTACGCCGGCAAACTCCTCCGCAGGATCCCGTGGGACCAAGGGTCCGGCGCGATCAAGGGGCTAGGATGGGCGAGCGTCCAGGGCGGCGAGGAGAAGCTCCTCGTCGTCACGGCGGACGGGACGGTGAGGGTGTATGATATCCAGGGCGAGTTCACGCAGTTCTCGCTCGGCAACGGCGCGGACGAGGTCGGCGTCGTCGGGTGCCGGTTCTACGAGACGGGTATGGTCGCCTTACTCGGCGGCAACGCGCTCGTCTCCGTCACGTCGTACGCAGAGCCGCGGCCCAAGTTGCTCGCTGCGCCGCCGGAGGACCAGGGCGAGATTCACGCGTGGGCTGTGGTTTCGCCTGACCACACGCTATCGCGGTCCGTCGAGGTGCTGCTGAGTATCGGGGAGACTGTGTATGTTGCCGACGCGGCTGAGTGCGAGGATCGGTTCCTTGATATTGGACCGTTTAGCCACATCAGTGTCTCGCCTGATGGGAGGCTGATTGTCTTGTATACCAAGACGGGGAAGGCGCATGTTATATCAAGCGATTTCCAGGAGCGGTTGGTGGAGCACGATTCGCAGTCGAGGATCCCGCCGAAATATGTTGAGTGGTGCGGCTCCGATGCGCTGATTGCGTGGGAGGATGAGGTGCACATTATCGGGCCCGATAGCGCGACGGCCGAATTCTTTTACGATGGGCGGGTTCACGTTATCTCGGGTACGTTCAACTCTTGAAAGAGTACCTCAGGCTTTAAAAGCATCCTATTAACAACATCTAGAAAACGACGGCGCGAGACTCATCACAAACGACGTGTGCGACTTCCTCGAACGCGTCCCCCACGCCACAGAAGACGTCTTCGGCACCCGCGCAGAGTCGTCAGCGGCCTCCATCCTCCTCGACGCCGTCGGCCAGCTGGAGCTCCAGTCCCCGAAAGCAGATGACTACATCCAGCTCATCCGCGCCAACCTCACCGAGGCCGTCGACACGTGCGTCAACGCCGCCGGCCGTGAGTTCAGCGTCCACTGGCAGAAGCAGCTCCTGAAAGCCGCCTCCTTTGGCAAGTCCGTTCTCGATATCTACAACAGCGACGAGTTTGTCGACATGTGCGAGATCCTCCGCGTCCTCAACGCCGTGCGATTCTTCGAAGTCGGCCTGCCGCTGTCCTTTGATCAGTACCAGCGCCTTACCCCCGAAGGATTGATAAAGAGACTCATCAACCGACACGAATACCTTCTCGCCCTCAAGATCGCGGGCTACCTCCGCCTCCCCACAGACCGCATCTATGTTCACTGGGCCTCCGCCAAAGTCCGCTCCGGTACCGAAGACGACGACACGATATGCCGCCTCGTCGTCGAGCGCCTCTCGGGCAAACCAGGCATCTCCTTTGAAGAAATCGCCCGCGCAGCCTACGACGAAGGGCGAGGCCGCCTCGCCACCGAGCTCCTCAACCACGAACCTCGCGGCGGCCGGCAGGTGCCCCTCCTCCTCAGCATGGAAGAAGACGAGCTCGCCCTGGATAAAGCGATCGAGAGCGGCGACACGGACCTCATGTACACCGTCCTCCTCCAGCTCAAGAAGAAGCTCCCGCTGGCAGCCTTCTTCCGCGTAATCAACGCCCGCCCCGCGGCCACCGCGCTCGTCGAGTCCTCGGCCGCGCGCGAGGGCGACAACGCACTCCTCAAGGACCTGTACTACCAAGACGACCGCCGCGTCGACGGCGCGAGCGTCTTCATCCGCGAGTCTCTCGCCCAGGCTGACGCCCGCACAGCATCCGACAAGCTCGCGCTCGCCGCCAAGCTGCTCTCCGACTCCCGCGAGGCGTCGTTCGAGGTGCACGCTCTCAAGGAGGCGCAGACGCTGCTCAAGATGCAGGAGGCGTTTGACCGCGACCTGACTGACACCTTTACGGGGCTCAGCGTCAACGAGACCATGTTTAAGCTTATTCGGCTGGGGTACCACAAGCGTGCGACAAAGATTCAGAGCGAGTTCAAGGTACCGGAGAAGGTTGCTTGGTGGCTCAGGTTAGCGGTTTCTTCCTTTCTTCGTGTCCTTGCTCTTCCACGGCTTCTAGTCTATCCGGCTACCCCTCTTTATTTCCTTACCAAGATGGAGAGAGAGGCATTGTACGATTGCTAACCCCTGCCTTCTTGACAATAGACTACGCGCCCTCGTTGCAAAGCGAGACTGGAACGAAATTGAAGAACTCGCAAAAACGAGAAAAAGCCCGATTGGGTGGGAGGTAAGCTTTCTTCACGAACAATCTACTACACACCTTCACAAAACCGTGAAGAAACCCGCGTGTTCGGCGTACCGCTGTTCTCCGTGAACACGTCGGAATTACACTCTACTGTAAACCGGACGACGGAAAGGATAGAAGCTAACCTCCGAGCGCAGCCGTTTTACAACCTCACGCTGCAGGCGGGCAACCCGCGGCTGGCGGCGGTCTTTGTGCCAAAGTGCACGGGTCTGGAACCGGGAACGACGATTACCATGTACGAAAAGTGCGGGATGCGGGTCAAGGCGGCGGAGGAGGCGGTGAAGCTCAAGGACGCCGAGGCGTGGGGTAGGCTCCTCGAGGCGGCGGGACGGGGAACGCAGGAGGGGCGGGAGATTGAGAAGCTCGGAGCTGCGGTTTTCAAGAAGTGAGGCTGGCGATTGTTTTTTTCGCGAAGGCGAGGTAGGCGAAGCATTTGACGCTTTATTCGAGGGATGAAGACGATGAGATCAGACGAAGACGATGGGGCGGGGGGTGTTAGGGTTAAAGGGGGTTGTCGTCGGTGTTTTAATCTCCCTCCTTACCATACCATACGTAATCTGAGCAGAATTAAGGTGATGCTCTATGGCTGCTGTCGAAGAGGAAGAGCCTCCTTCCTTGAGGGTTTACGTTTGAGGCGATGTACAAATGGGAATGGGAGCCGTCGTCGATCCGGGGTAAGCTTGCCCACCGGCCGGTCGGGAACTAGGACTTCCCCAGGTCCAGGACGTGCGTGCGCGTAACGTAGTTTCTAGCTTTGTCGAAGTCTTCACGACCGATTATGCCAAAGGGAAAACTCAGGCCATGCCAAGCCCTAGGTCTGCTAGATGTGCCGGATCGTCTAGCTGTCTGACAGGCTTGGTCGATTCTTTGACGGTTGCTTCCGGATACAGCTTGGCTTGGCAGATGTCTAACACAGTCTGGAGACTTGAGACCGTCATTAAGCCCAACTTGCCTGGCAGGCTTTACCACAGGTAAGTGAAGAGAGGGCATGAAGAGGTCGCGTGACAGATTGATCTACACGTGGGCGAAGCACGGGAGACGGGCACGCCGCCACGCCGACACGGGCCCCAGGGTTCGACGGCGGGTTTTTGTGAGCTAAGAGAGCGCTGGGGATGAGGTTTGATGCTGTTTGCTTTTGAATGTCAGTTTGTCAAGTTTGTCAAAGGGCAAACAATTGGATTATGGTCCAGGAACAAACGCCCCTTTTGGCTGTGAGATTGCATATGTGGAATAAGGCGACGAGCCAGGGGCCGTGGTCTCAGATGGGACACCAGGGAGCAATGCAGAGAGCGAGGTTCCAGGTTGAACCTAGGGCGGCTCTGGCGGGAGGTCTTCATGAATCAGGTATTAGGTTCTGGGGGGCACCGTCTCGGAGGATTGAAGGAGCATGGGGGCGACGACGGTCTGATATGCCTTGCTATGCGCAAAAGGTTTTTTCTGAACATGTTTGCTCGGGAGCGACAAAGCATGAGCGAAAATCGGTTGAAGCAGGTTCGTCTTTACGCAGAGATGGTTACTGCGGATGCCAGTGGGTGGCTGACAGTGAATACTAAGTTTCGTTCTGTGACGCCCTAGTGACTGGTGACGGAGGGCAAGGAGAAACAACCCCGAGTCACCTTTGGCCGACTCCTTGGGCTATCAGCGGTGTTGGTGGTCTACCTCAGTACACTACGTCTGCCCAGGGACGTAAGACGTGCAGATTGCAACCAGTCACTGGCGGGTGGCGTCTCCTTGACTAAGCGATGTCAAGTGCTGATCACCGTGACCGAGATGCCGGGAAAGGCGGATCTAGATCCTCATCTCTGGGCGTGCGTTGAGCCTGCATTTGACCAAGATGAGACGAAGGCGACTAGACAATGGAATTTGCAAAACAGTTATAGTGCTGAAAGCAGCCGTCCGGGAGTAGGTTCCCACAAAGAGCAAGCTGTAGGCAAAGACGGACGGAATTAGGGTCCACAGCGGGCTCGGCCCCGGAGAAGAATCGGAGGGTGCATGAGGTGAGGTGTGTGCCGCCAGTGAATGGTCTTGGCAAGGCCTCCTCACGACAAGGAGGAAGCCGACTCGAGGTGGCGAGGCAAAGCGAGGCGGCCAGCGAAAATTCGCTCGTTGGTTCAGCAGGCAGTATCGGGTTCGGATCCGTGTTTCTGATGAGCTCTCGGCCTTCCAGAAAATTTCTTAATTGTGGTTCTAGTTCCGCCAAGATAGTTGACATTTGGTGTCAAGAGGTAAGGCGGAACGGAATGGACATGTCCCAGAGTTTGCTTTTGTTTTCGCAGTGTCGCAAGCGTTGTGGTGGTGGTGAGTCGGATGAGGCTCGGGACGGCGGATGACGGACCGGACGAGTCAGTGGCAGAGAGACCGCATTCCTGAGCATGGCGGGTTTAACTCCCACATCGTCATTCAGCTATCATCCATGCTGGAGAAAGTCTGTGATGAAACGACCATCGATCAAGACAGGCAGGGAGCCGTGGTGTCGTGAAGTTATGACTTGCCTTGGGAACAGTAGGATCCTTGTGCACGAAGGCGCCACAGAGTCGAGCCTGCGAGGTGGGATTCCCAGCCTTCCGATGGACTTCCGGCGGGGGAAGATTTCCTGGACCCAATCACGATAGCGACCCAAGTGAAGGGACAGCATGGGAGGAAGAGAGTGACGGACGGAGGTGGCGGGGGTTCTCGGTCACACGCCTCGGTGCCAGTCGGTGGGCCTGAGGTTCCCTGCCCTTGATCGTGGGCGAAGGAGGTACTTGCAGTGCAGAACGAGCAAAGTACCTTGATCTTCTCGGTTAGGTAAGGTAACCTTGGCAAAGTCGATGGTCTTGGGCTCTTCGGACGCAACCCTCAACGGAGGGTCGAAGGGTCTATTCAGGGAGCTAGGGAGGTGGAAGGCCGCTAATCTGGTGATTGCGTTAGCGTGAACAGCCCCCTGAGAATATGGTTCGCCATTGTCTCTCGCGTACGGCGTATCTAACCATGGAAAGCCTGGAGCTTGAAGACGACGGGGAAGGCCATAGGGCTTCAAAACCACTCACGCGGCGCTCTTGGTGGAGGGGTCACTCGAGAGTCTGCAGACGCAGGTGCAGACTGCAGAGAAACCCAGCGAATGGGCCGGCGATATGCTGGTTGGCTGCATGTCAAATCACTCCCGTCCGTGACAGCGATGCAGTGGTGCCGTGGGCGGCGGGGGTTTCAAGAAGTGGGCAAAGTGGATTATGAGGTATCCAAAGACTGCAGCTACCTCCCATGGGGGAGATATCCGTAGGTTAGGCCGCGAAGAATGTGAGTGGGAGCAAGGTGAAGAAGTGAGCTGACCTTGTCATGTCCAGTTTTCGCGGTTCAGGAGGCTGGTGGTGGCCCTGTTGTGCCGTTATTCCAAGGTTGATGGAGACGGTGTTTTCGCTCCCTCATTTTTGGTGGAGAGATGACGATAGGCGACGGGAAGGCCGGAAATAACATGGCGCGTTCCTTTCTCTACCGCTGTCTGCTTTGATGTCTGCATTTGATGGAGAAACTTGGAAAGACGTCTAACAGCACTGATGCTGTTAGGCTATGGGCGGGAGTCGTCGTCGTATTGGACCAAGGCAGGTACAAGTCACGATGGATCGTGTCCATGGAGCATTGCGGGAAGGTGTCGTAATGCGGTCTTAGTACCTGCTCGGACGTTGCCGACCCCCTTTTTCCACTCACTCTTTTATTAATTACCCTGTGGAGTCATCACCCAGCATTATAAATGCCATTGTGTTTGCCTTGCATAGACGTCTTCATAGATGATGACAAGCTCGGAGGAAAGATCATGAGATGCCCTGAACTTGATGGGCAGCAACGAGGTAAAGACAAAATTGGGAGAGGCATTGCAGATGGTGATTCATCCTGGCCAGTGCCAACCCGTGCACTCTGGTCGCCGATGCTCTTTTGAGATCATCGTGCCTGCCTCACTTCCCGGGATCTGAAGCATTGGCCATCTCGCAGATGCAGACTCCTGTGCTCCTTCCTGCCTTCACACCGGTACCTACCCGACTGCCTTACCATAAGGTAGTACCTTACCTAAGGTATGGTGTGTATGGATAGCACCTTCCATTGAGTGCCAAAGTGTCTCTCGTCTCGTGTTGCAGCCCCGTGCCTCCGCGGAAAGGAGGCGAGACAGAGCACCTGCCTTGTCCACCTTTGAGTGGTCCTGGTGGTTGACGATCGAGAAAGCCAAAATGCAACTTGGGATGAAGAAGGTGCGAGTGCGTACCGTGCTACCTACCTGAGGTAAGTGAAGGCAGGTACGCTTGGGCGGACTTTCCACCATTTCATCTCAGATTCCCAGATCTTTCCGCCCTTCACCGATGGGGCCGGTGTATCTCCGACGCTTCGTTAATCTTCCTTCCGTCTCTTCCATTCAAGCATCCCACCCAACTCCAAATGCCTCAACATCTACCTCACTCTACTGGTATTCAACCTTCCAGATGACTGGCGACGCATCCGGTCTATCTTCTCCGGCTACCGAAGGTATTCCCCTCCGATGACGGGACTTTGATCCAGCTTTGATCCAGCTTCCCGGAGCTGGCTGCCGCTGGGCTTGACACTGAGACCCCCCAACCCAAATGACCCTGCCATGTGTCTGTGCTCCGCCGTTCTCGTTGCTTCTTCTAACCATTCTGTACATGGCAGTCGCGCATCTCCCGCTTCAAAGAATTGACTTGACTGCCCGCCTCAAGGCGCATGCAGAATCCGAGACGGCTCTTTCGACACCGATCCCTCCGGTAGCAGCGCCCATGTGCTTTTCGATCTGTTCCAACTTGAACACTCAACCGGCGGGAGAGAGACAAGGGATCATGGAACTGGCAGCAACGCGGCCTCATTGCTGTATCATCATTAGACATCATCGACGTCGTCGGTCACGGCATTTCTTCCCATGAGCAACTCCATGTGTGCCACACCGACGTCCATCTGTATCCGTAGGCACGAATGATAGCGTACCTACACTACTGCGTACCCGTCCGCATCCACTGGATATCCCGGCCAACCCACACGCTTGCAGCAAGCATATCCAGGCGCATTGGATCCTTTCCATTGCACCCCTGGCCCCGGTTCGCCTTTACGTCCCCTCACTCCTCTAGCCAGTCTTCTGTCCGGCCCTAAACCAAAGGCAACGCCGCAACAACAACGTCCCCTGCCATTCCCGGCCCAGAAAGACGAGGACACACGCACATCTCAAGGCTCAACCCCTACCGCACGGCAACTGCCACACTACCTAATACGGGCCCCCTCGCCCTGGTCGTGTGTCTGTTGCTATTGCTTGCCAGAGAGCCCAGACGTCGTCATATTCCCCATAAACGCCCCCCCTACCCTTCAAGCAGAGGCAGTCGGGAGGAGAGAGAGGGAAAAAAAAAAAGAAATAGTGGCACGCGCGCCAACGAAAAGCTGACCGACTGGGCTGGACCCCGACTTGTTCTCTTTACGTCCAAGTAGCCGACCTGGACGACTACACTTCGTACCAGTTCCAGTTCCCACTGCCCAGCTGCCCTGTCCTTGGGGCCCTTGCTTCATCGCCAGGCCCAGCATCGAGACCAATTCTTCTCGTCTTTAGCTTGCGTCCCACCTAAGGTACGGTCCTCTGTACGAAGCACTCTATCTGTAGAGTCTACAGTACATATACACCCAAAACTAGTCGTCTCGTGTCTCCCGCCCCTCCTCATGCCCTGCCCAGGTACTTCCATCCAGGACCACCACAAGTACCTTTTCTTTGGCCTGGCCACTTTCTTTCGTCCAACCTCACCGTCCACGGCCGCGGCGCACTGCTTTCACGCCTAGTCCATCTGGCTGTCCGGGCTCTTCCTCCAGCCACTTGACCCAACTGGGACTGACACTGACGATTACGACGAGCAACAAGAAGAAGTCGACGCCCGTCCTTCTTGGCTCCAAAGCCGAAATACTGACCCTTTCCCCAATCCAGCCGAGCACCACAGACATTCAAGCATCCTTCAGTTGCAACTTCCTCCCAGGTCCAACTTTCCAAGGTCTTGCCGCTTGTCGTCCAGACTAAAAAAACCGTCTTCCCCAGGTCCATTTTCTGATCCCGGGCGTGATCTGCTTTTTCTTGGTCCATAATACCATTCATCTCTCTCATCTCTTACCCTCGGACCTTACCTCCCATCTCCCTCCCGTCTTGACGATTCCTCCTTGGTCCTTTTCGTCCCTTTGGTCCCTCTGTCCAACCTCGCCTTGCCTCGCTGGATCACGCCTTGACAGACAGGAACTCGGAATACAGAGTACGGAGTAGAAGAGAGCACCAAAGATTGCTTTCCAGACAGGATCCAGCGACACTCCAAGCAAACACAAGCCGTCTAGGCGTCCTCCACTCCCTCTCCCATCCCTCTCTCTTTCTCTTATTCCACCCCTTCATCACATTCTTCCCATAGCTTCTTTGACGCCCTCACCCTCTATTTGCACCCCAAAGAGAGACACCCCCAACAAGGCAGTCCACAATCCCGTTCTCCAAGGGACAGGCAAAAGACAAAAAACCAAGCAAAATAGGTCACTCAGACAAGTCCGCCGACGCCCAGTGATTCAGCCAGCTAGTCAGCCAGACCGCCAGCCGAAACCCACGAGTCGAGAGCCGGCACCATTGCGACACTACCGCCTGATTTCCAGACGGATTCTAACCCTGCGGCGGCCACTACTGCTTATTGCACCCACCGCCAAAAACAGTACAGCCTAACAAACACCAACCCATTCTTCTATCCTCCCAGGCTCCCCCTCCCCCCCTCGAGGCGCAAATGTTTACACAACCAGTCGCATCGCCACCGACCGTGGGCCCCGTGCCGACGTCTGTCACCAATCCCGCTTCACCCTCAACACGATCCAGTCGCCTGAGAGGCCTCAGCTATCTCCGCAGCTACACTCAAAATCATATTTTGTCCCGAGAACATAGCAGCCAGGGCTCCAACTCTCCAACATCAAACTCGCATTCTCACGTCGCCGCCCACTCCCACTTTCACCACAACACCGGCACCAGCCCGCACTCTCAGACCCAAACTCAAACTCAAAATCAAAACCACCACAGCAGTCGTTCGGGTTCTAGTCGCCCAACCCCCGGTCTGCAGCGTTCTCTCAGCTATTCGCCTACTTCAACCCCTCGTCGCTCCGACACCGACGCCCAGCTGAACCCTCTGTCGCTCGTCGCCTCCCTACAGGAGTCCCCATCATCGTCAACTTCCTCCGCCAACAGGGCTTCCACCACGCCCTCTTCACCAGCCGTCGAGCGCCCGGCAGTGGATGCACTCCCCTCTATTCTCGACGACGTCATTGCCAGCGGCAGCACCAGCAGCCATATACGGCAGCAATCTGACCAGCAGCCGCAGTTGACCAACGACGCTGAAGCCGCGAACATGACGAGAGCACGCGCCTCTACCACGGGCGATGCCCCTGTCGCAGCCTCCCCCGCGCCCGAAAATCTACCTTCGATCCGATTTTCTGCCTACTATGATCCCCGCGCGACACGTCCCAGCCTGACCTTCCCTCCTGTCTCGAGAACGCTGCCCTCAAACGGCGACATCATCAGGGTCGGCCGCTACTCTGAGCGGGATAACCAGCCTAGCATTCCCAACAACACCCCTTCGGCCGCGCCCGTTGGGTTCAAGAGCAAAGTTGTCAGTCGTCGCCATTGCGAATTTTGGTATGACGAAGGTAAATGGTACATCAAGGATGTCAAGAGCTCGTCCGGCACTTTCCTCAACCACATTCGACTTAGCCCTCCGGGAACGGAATCAAAGCCATTTCCCGTCAACGATGGCGACATTGTACAGCTTGGAATAGATTTCAAAGGCGGCGAGGAAATGATCTTCCGCTGCGTCAAGATGAGGCTGGAGCTGAATAGAGGCTGGCAGAACAAGTTGAACACGTTCAAGTAAGTTGAGCCAATTTCGACCGTATCCGTCCTTGCGCTTACATCATGCAGCATGGCGACGCACAAGCGCTTGCGGAACATGACTGCAGCCAACTCGGCGAATTCTTCGACGCAGGACTGCTCAATTTGTCTCAACTCTATCGCGGTATGTAGCCGCCGTGTGAACGGATCCCCACATTCCTTTCGGGCAAGCAAGCTAATTGTCTTGTAGCCGTGCCAGTGCTTGTTCGTGGCGCCTTGCTCGCATACCTGGCACTTCAAGTGCATTCGGTCTCTACTAAATTCTCCCCAATACCCCATCTTTGTCTGTCCAAACTGCCGCATGGCCGCCGACCTCGAAGCGGATATTGAGGACCCTGAGGAGGATTGGGAGCAGATGGAGGAAGATGAGGAGCCCGAACAAAAACAACAGAAGCAGGAGGAGAAGGAGACTCCTGCGGCTGTCTCGACCGCGCCCTTGGCAGCTCCCGCAGCCGTGGTAAGCTCGAGACCTCAACTCCCTGAGATTGGCACCGATGACGATGCCATGGACGACTTCACGGTGGCCTTGGATCGCGCCAGAACCGTCGCCGAAGCTCCAGAAGCAGCGCCGAGAACTGTGGCACCCCATACATCCATCCCACCTGTTCCGATCCCAGCAGTCGGCATAGCCCAGACAACTGCACCGCGAAGCGGTCGAGATACCCGCACTCCCTCACCCATTGGTAACCATTTGGTCAACGCTACTGAAGGTCCTATTACCCCGCGTAACGATGCTGGGCCATGGGTCTTTGACGGTAGTGCTGGGCGTCGTGCTGCCGAGGCATCGAGTGGAATGCGAAGCCTTGATGCTGCCGCCGAGATGGAGGTTGACCGGTAGAGCCGGTACAGACGTTTACGCAGAGGCATGGCAGGGAGAGACCGAACTACCGGCCTGAAGCATAGGTCAAGTTTTGTCCCCCAGGCATAGAGTGACGCACCCTCACGGAAACGTATGCGTCAACTACGAAGACGGCAAAAGACGGAGAGGAGAAATGCGTTATACGTTGCGCAGGATTCAGTGAATAAGTTGCATGAGCGAAGGCGTGGAACGGTGTATGGCGTTTGAATGCATTGTGGGTCGTTGTATGCCAGCCATAGCGAAGCAGAGCTATGGTGTTATTTCTCGACTCGGTTTACGGAGGCGGGCTCAATGGAAGGGCTGGCATTTTCTGTTTCAGTTACGACAGCGGCTTCTATATGAATCAGGGAGATCCGCAAGCCAGAAGACGGATTCATAGCATTCTTCTAATACAGAGTTGACGAGCGTTTAATACTCGCCTCATCAGTACAAGACGTGAAAAGGAGTGATTGGGTTACTATTCTCCGATTAATTACAACTTCGCATCTGCCGTATGTTAATGACTTACTCGCCAACTTGTGCAAATCTTTTTTCGGTGGATTGGATTGTGTGTTGAGCACTGCTTACGAGATCTCCGAGCCATGAGACGCAATTCGCGGAATACGAGCGGCGCGGCTCCTAAATGACGTCTCCTTGCTAGATGCATCGTCTGCAATCTGATTGGCCGAGCGCGATACCCCACAAAGACCGACTGTACCGGGACGATAAGGCGATAAGGGGCACCAAGAATTGGATGCGTCAACTCCCGTGAGCAGCGAACTTTTCCATAGCCTCGCCATCGTGCACCATCAACCAACGACCGCTAAGGGACCACCATTGATCGCACATAAGCCGACCGATCACCCGGTGTACAATCAAAGACCTCACACACGATGCTTCGATCATTAGCGACGCGCCTCCCGCGGCGCGCGGTCGCTTCGACAACCCCCCGTCTTACTACCAGTTTCCGCCCCTCTACCTTCACGCCCTCCTCACGCCGGGGTCTCGCGACGATTATCGAAGCCATTCCGAAAGAGCCGACAGAACTCGATGCCATCACGACCCTCCCCAATGGCCTGCGCGTTGCTTCTGAAGCGCTACCGGGTTCCTTCTCCGGCGTAGGCGTCTACGTTGATGCCGGCTCCCGGTACGAGGATGCCGGCCTGCGGGGTGTCAGTCATATCATGGACAGGTTGGCCTTCAAGTCAACGGGCAGCCGCAGCGCAGACGACATGCTCGAGTCGGTCGAGGCCCTCGGCGGCAACATCCAGTGCGCAAGCTCACGAGAGAGCATGATGTACCAGGCGGCGACGTTCAACGGCGCCGTGCCGACGACGATTGGGCTGCTCGCCGAGACGATCCGCGACCCTAAGCTCACCGAGGACGAGGTGCTCGAGCAGCTCGGCACCGCCGAGTACGAGATCAAAGAGATTTGGAGCAAGCCGGAGCTTATTCTGCCCGAGCTCGTCCACACGGCTGCTTTCAAGGACAACACCCTCGGCAACCCCCTGCTGTGCCCGGAGGAGCGCCTCGGCAGCATCTCGAGGGATACGATCAAGCGGTACAGAGATTTGTTCTACCGTCCTGAGCGTATTGTAGTTGCATTCGCAGGTGTCGAGCACACAGAGGCAGTCAAGCTGGCGGAGCAATACTTTGGCGACATGCAGCCCTCCTACCAAGAACCCACGCTCTCAAGGACAGGCTCAGAGACCTCCATTGGCTCCGCGGCCTCAGAATCCACTGACGCGTCCGCCTCCGCCTCCGCATCTTCCTCCCCAGTCCAACAACCCTCAAAACTCCTCTCCAAAGTACCCTTCTTCAAGAACCTCTCCACTTCAGCACCGGCCAACGCCTCCGTCCAGAGCGGCAGCGCATCGCAGCTCTACGGCATCAACTCACCAGCCCACTACACCGGTGGCTTCCTCTCCCTCCCGCCCCAACCCCCATCCCTGAACCCGAACCTCCCGACCTTCACCCACATTCACCTCGCCTTCGAGGGCCTCCCTATCTCCTCAGACGACATCTACGCCCTCGCGACACTGCAGACCCTCCTCGGCGGCGGCGGCTCCTTCTCCGCCGGCGGCCCCGGAAAGGGAATGTACTCCCGCCTCTACACAAACGTCCTCAACCAGCACGGCTGGGTGGAATCCTGCGTCGCCTTCAACCACTCCTACACCGACTCCGGCCTCTTTGGCATCTCCGCCAGCTGCATCCCCGGTCGCACGGCGAGCATGCTCGACGTCATGTGCCGCGAGCTCCGCGCCCTCACCCTCGACACGGGCTTCTCGGCCCTCAAGGCGGCCGAGGTCAACCGCGCCAAGAACCAGCTCCGCTCGAGCCTGCTCATGAACCTCGAGAGCCGCATGGTGGAGCTCGAGGATCTCGGCAGGCAGGTCCAGGTCCACGGGCGCAAGATCCCCGTCACGGACATGTGTCGCAAGATTGAGGCGCTGACGGTCGAGGACCTGCGCCGCGTGGCGCGTATCGTCGTCGGCGGGCTGGTCGAGAACCCCGGCAAGGGCAGCGGTGCGCCGACGGTTGTGTTGCAGGAGGCGCAGGCGCACGGCGTCAGTACGCATACTATCGAGTGGGAGGCGATTCAGAATACGATTTACGACTGGCAGTTGGGCAAGCGGTAAAAAGGTCCCAGAGGATGGTTTGTCTCGATAGAGTGTAGCGAATGTGGGCTGTGTTGGGATAGAGAGGTGGCACAGAAAGTGGCCATAACTTGTATCATAGAAGAGAAAGAGGCAGAAGAAACTCGACAAGTTTGGAAGGGTTGTTAGGGTGAAGTGTAAAAGTATTTAATGGCTGGCTATCCTCGAGGACACAGGGTGTGTTCTCTCAGCAGCAGTGTAGAAAAATATCCCTCTTTTTTCTTTCTTTCTGATCAAACAGAGAAAGTTTTATTCTGCTCGGTGACTAGAATTTAGTGACGAAGTTGCCTATCTAGTAAAACATTATACAATACGTTAAAATGATATAAGAATGTTTGAATAGTGTTTTGAATTTGTGTACATTGTAATATCTGTCTTTGTGTCGTCGTATTGTAAGGACACCCATCCACCATGTAATAGTTGTTGATGTATGTTTAGTCTAAGTAGGTATACGTCTTTCCTTCCCTCAAAGCAAGACAAAAAACGCCGATGACCCCATATCATCAGGCCGTAGCCGCTAAACTCCTCCCATAGAAAGACAAAGAAAAAGAAAGTCAGGGATGAGCAATAGTGTTGAGATCAGGAGTTCTATCCCAGTCCCAAAGTGTATGCTCAAGTCACGCCATCGTCCTCAAAGCTTCGATCGAATCGCCTCAAGCCGATACTTCACATCCTTGAGCGCCTTCGTAACAGGCTTCCAGTCATCAAACTGCCTCAGCAGCTCCTCCGTCTCAGACGACAGCTCAGTACGGACAAAGTCCTCTTCCAGCAGGCCGCGCATGATCCAGGGCAGGTGGTACGGGTTCGGGTTCGCGACAGAGGCCCCGGCTCCGGCACCTCTTGAGTCGCGGCGGTGGGCGACGGTGGCGACCACGTTAGGGCGCACGTCGGAGGTCTCGAGTGCGTGGGTGAGCGCGAGGTCGTAGACTTGATCGTCGTAGTAGAGGCGCGAGTGGCCTTCGCCCGAGTAGAGGCTGCCTGCTAGCGGCGTCGAAAGTTCTCTTATCAGTCCGTGGTCTGACACGCCTAGGTTGCGGAGTTTGAGGGCGAAGCCGACAAGGTGGGCGATGCTGTATGAATGTGTTAGTGTGGTGCATATGAAAGGCAGGGGTAGCGAGTTCGCTCACAAGTCTGGCGCGTGGATGCGGCCGTCAATGAACACAGCGCGGTAGATGTAAGGATGAGACGCTGGTGAGTAGATTGCTGACTCCATCGGCACGAGCTGGTCGTCAATGCTGCCGATATACGTGATTCTTGCGCCGTACTTCAGTACTTCTTTCAGGGAGTGCTCGTATCTCTTGGAAATTTCGCTATCTGGGTTCGAGAATTCCCACAACTCGTTGGCGGCTCCCATAAGGATTCCCATACTTGACTTGTAGTCTGGGAACGGACCCAGCGAGACTCCGGCTGCGCACGTCAGTTATCATTCTTAGATCAGGGGGTCTGGGAGTTAATGTCAATGACTCACCCATTGCGCAAACGCCGATCTTGGCATTCGTTATAATGCCCAGATCTATCAACTTCGCCAGGAGCATGACTCCTACAGGCACACCTTGAGAGTGACTGGCGACCAAAATGAGATCAGCGTTGCGAATGTGCTCGATCCAGTTAAGAAGAAGCTTCCACAGGTTGTCTACTCTGTCCGCAATCTTGCCGTCACCCTCCAAAGCGACCTTTTCAATTTCGCAGTCGGGACATCCGTGGGCATCAGTCCATCTCCTGATGGCTTCAGCGCCGAGGTTTGCGAATCGTAATGATGTTCCTGTCGGTTGACCGACCATGGGTCTCAGATACATCGCCGGGAAAAGTCCGTGTACGCCAATCGCGATAGCTTTCTTGATCTTCGGCGTTTCTTTTACCTTATAAACGTGATTCGCCGGGGGCTGCTGCGTGCGAAGCAACAAGGAGGTGATTTGTTTGATGATGGATGGGTTGTCTTTCATCCTATACGTACTCCCAAACGAGGGCAAGAGCAGGTTCGGAGGTGTCGCTTTCGAAAGTGTTTCTTGGCTCGGGCTAGCCTTTGGTGTGCCTGGCTTCAGGGGTGGTTCTTTGGGTGTCGTTTCCGCCAGGGAAGCCTTCGATGAGGCCACTGATTCCGGCCGATTGGGTGTCCCCGGTCTAGATGGTATATCTAGGTCCATCGACTGAGGGCGGTTTCTCTTACTCTTTCTTCCAAACGTTGATGGTGTTGACGCGGTACCCGCCTTGGTACTTTTGGACGACTTTGCATCTTTGGAGGTCTTGGTATTCTTCCCGTCTTTCGTTGCTTGGTCTGATTGTGATTGTTCGACACTGATTCCCGTGTGCTCTGGATGCGCTTCAGATCCCTGACCAATGACCGCAAGCTCGCCTGATTCTGGCTGCGCTGTCTGGCTTTTGCTCCCCTCGGCCTTCGGGCGAGTGTCTCTAGACCAGAACGCCCAAGTAGAACCGGCGGAGGGTGTCTTGGCAGGTTCTGGCTTTGGTGGTGGTGCGTCCTCCATGATCACGTCTTCGGGCTGCTTCACCGGCTCCTCGGGTGTCTTTGGTACCTCGGTGCTTTCGGTGGGCTTCGGGGTATCTGAGTCTGGAGGGTTCTCTGTCGCAGGAGCGTTCGAGTACCAGAAGCCAAACCAAGAATTTGTCGACGAGGGCGGGTTCGGCCCTGCGTTTTCGACGGGAGCCTCAGCGGATGGTGTCTCGGCTGGTGGTGCTGGCTGGAGTTCTGGCCCTGGCTCTGGTAGAGGATCTGCCTCTTTCGGTGTCTCTTCGACGGGCGTGAACGACTGTGTTTCTGTCACTGGGGCCCGTGCTAGCCACCCAAACCAGCCTGATGATGTAGCCGGTGGCTCGACGCCTTGCGCTTGCGGTTCTTCTATCGCCTTGCTCGTATCGTCGGCTGTTGCTGGTATTCCCACTACTGCCTTACTAGTCTCTGTCGATGGAGCCTGCGCTTTAGCAGCACTACCACCGTCCTTCTTGATCGTTGCGTCTCCTTCCGGCGTCGCAGCGCCGTCCTCGGGTATCTGTGGTAATGATGCTGATGAATCGGCCGGGCCGTCGAAACTCGCCGAGTCAATGCTCTTCTTGGTGTCGAATCTTCGAAAATCAGGAACACTGGAAGGCTTCGAAGTGCCTCCGAAGATGGTTTCTCTTGCCAGCTGAGTCGATGCGGAAGTCTTTGGGACGCGTGGCCAAGAGCCGTACCAACTGCGCGCCTTGCGGACCTGCATCTTGAATTTAGTCTTTGCGCCCTAACAACCTGCAGTGCACTGTCACAGAGAACCTACCTGTTTCTGTGAGTTCTGTGGTGTGTTCTTCGTCTCGCTGCCGCTTCTATCCCTCATCAGAGGCATCTCTCGCGTCGGGCGGTTCGCGGGTTCTGAGACGGCCGTGACCTGTGACGTAGCCGACGTTGGAATCGCAGGGGCAATTGCCGCAGGCGGTGGGCTTGATGAGCTCGGCGCAGATGGAGTAGTACGCTGGCGCTTTCGAGGAGACATGGCGGAGAAAAGGTTTAGTCGTGGGGGAAATTCGGGCGAACAGGTTGAAAGTCAATCTGCCGCATATTCGTTTTGAAGAATCAGTGTTGGAGGCTGGTAGGAAAATGACAGTAACTGGCCGTTGTTGTTGAATGAGTTGCCTGGGATGGTGGCGCCCACGTTTGGCGGGCGACCTGGGATCACTACCCAGGCGCAACCTGGCGCTACTCAGGTACTCTTTACAGCATGGTACTTTGGGTCGGGTGGTCTGGCGGCGGGTGCAGGCGGCCAACCCCTCCAAATGACACCCTGCTGATTAGATAAGGCACCTTAAGGTACCTGTCCCGCTGGTGGCCGCCACCTCGGCTTCCATTTCGTTGATGACCATTCCCCCCAGCACCCACCTGCAGTCGCCCTCTTTTTGGTGGAGGGTCCGATAAGCCATTCTCTCTTATCGTTATCGTTATCGCCTTGCATCCCGCGCCCAAAGGCGAAAAAAATGTTTTGAGTGGAGTAGTCGCAAAGAAAGGTCCCTGGGCCTTTTTTTTTTCTTCCTCTCCGACCTCAATATCGAGTCCAGGACTGTTGCAAGCAATTGCAACTGACTTTCGGGCACAACCACAACCATGAGCTCCCTCAAGCGAAAGGATGCCCCCGGGGGTACTCCTCCATCGAAAGCGGCAAAGGCCTCCAAGGTCTCTCGGCCGTCGAAGCGCGATACGCCCAGCAAGGACAAGAAGGACAGGAAGACGACTGAAGATGCTCCTGCGCCCCGGGCTCCCGCAGTCTCAGCGCTGCTCAAGGATGAAGAGCCTTTGTTCCCCCGTGGAGGCGGAAGTGTTCTTACGCCCCTCGAGCAGAAGCAAATTACCATGGAGGCAAAGGCAGACGCCGCAAAGGAAGAGGCCGAATTGTTCGACACGAATGTCAAGGGAAAGGCAAAGAAGGAGAAGAGGAGGAAAGCAAAGGATACCAAGGATACAAAACCCGCAAGAGATGAGGATGCAGTCAAGATTGAGGGTCTCAACTTCAAGGTATGGCCTTTCTGCCCCCATTGGAGCAAACGTAGCTAACACAGTGAAAAGCGATTGGTGAAGGGCTCTTTGGTGCTGGGTCAGATTAGCCACATCGACCCGGTCCAACTGACGATCGCGCTGCCGAACAACCTTACAGGAACCGTCTCGATTGCTGCGATCTCGGACACGATTAACTCCAAGCTCGAGAAAGACGCTGCCGACGAAAGCGAAGACGACGAGGAGGACGAAGACGATGAGGGCATTGACCTCAAGTCCATGTTCAAGGTCGGCCAGTACGTTCGCGCACAAGTTCAGTCGACCGCAGACGAGTCCGGCACCGGCAAGCCCAAACGCCGCATCGAGCTTTCCCTTCGGCCTACCGACGCCAACACAGGCATTTCCAGTGACGAGGTCGTCGGATACACAACTCTTATGGCATCAGTCACCAGCGTTCAGGATCACGGTTACGAGATGGACTTGGGTATTGAGGGCGATCTTAAGGGTTTCTTGGCTAAGAAGGAAGTCGGTCCCGACATGGATGAGGCCAGCTTGCGACCAGGTGCCGTCTGCCTGTGCGTCGTGAAGGCAGTCACCGGCATCATCGTCCAGCTGTCAACCGATCCTCTGAAGCTGGGCAACACCTCCCTCGTGGCGTCGAGCGCTCCGACAATCAACTCCTTCTTGCCTGGTTCCTTGGCCGACGTTCTGCTCAC